AAAAAAATAATTCAGGTTCTAATGGGTTAACGAGCTAATAAATGTTTAAAACAACAGGGGTTTTGAGGATTTACTAGATAGATTTTAAAATTTATTTTATTTTAGGTACAATTTTTTAAATTCTACATTATAATAAGTTAATATATTTTTTATGTTTCAATATCATGGTATATGTTACAAATCATCAATTTTTTTGGAAATTATAACATCACCAATGATATTAGGACTCCGAAATTAGGATATCTTTCTGCAGAGTCCTGGAATGATCTAGCTGCGATTGTTTAATAATTTTAGTAATAAATAATAAACTAATAAAATAATTATTGGTGTTTTCTTAATTTGTATCTTCTACCATCTTTATCTGAAGAAGTAAAAGTCCAAACTTGCAACTTTAATTAAAATGTCAACGAGACGATCTACAATAATAATCAAAATCATATAACAATATAATGCTATCCACCGACAGACACTCACAATACAATCCAGAAAATAACACATCACAACAGTGCCTGGACATATTAAAACAAAAAATTTTCGTTTACTCAAGACGTCTAAGGAGATACAAAATTAGTAACAAATGAAAATCCGACAATATGCTTTTTGAGATGCCGAGAAGGCGTTCTATCGGAAACTTAATTCTACTGCGGAAAAGCCAATAAATCGTATCCAAGCCAAGAAGAAATCCATGAGTTTTGGGGAAATCAGCTTTCCACACCAGCTGCTCTTAACACCAATGCTGGATGGATCGAAGATATTGCGCACAACTGCCAACACTACGTTACTGCTCCCTATAAACCCTTCACTACTAAAGAAGTTTCAAATATTATCAAAGAGCTTCATAATTGGAAATCTCGTGCACCAGACAGCATTCAGAACTTCTGGCTTAAGAAGTTCTGGAGTATTAATGAGTGCTTATCAGCATTAATTAATCACAGTATTTCTAATCGGTGAGAAATGCCATCTTTTCTAACCCATAGAACAACTTATTTAATACCAAAAGATCAAAATAATACCCAAGATCCAACCAAGTATCGCTCAATTACTTGTCTTCTAACTCTGTATAAATTGGTTACATCTTGTGTAGCCCGGTGTATCTACCAACATTGTGCTCTAAACAATATCATAGAGTCTCAACAGAAAGGGTGCGCTAAGGGTTCCATGAGCTAACCAAGAATATAGCAAAAAAAAAGGAATCTTTACTGCTTTCATCGACTACAAGAAAGCGTTTGATTCAGTGCCGCATGAATTACTTATAGATGTATAAAAAATATATAAAGTCGATGATTACAGAGTGACCTTTTTAAAACGTAAAATGTCAGATTGGAAGACAAAAATTCACCCTGGTGAAAACAATCGCGAAACTGAAAATATTGCAATCAACCTGCCTATTTAAAGGAGACCCATTGAGCCCACTGTGGTTTTGTCTAGCGATGAACCCCCTATCCCAGCTACTAAACTTAACTGACACAGGTTTTAGCATCATAAATAACACTATTCTTGTGGCAAAGCTTAATCATCTAGTGTATATGAAGTATTTAAAACTCAGATCAGATGCTAAAACAGTGGAAAATTTCTCTACTGATATTAGTCTGCACTTCGGTTTTGAAGTGCCGTATCTTAAATTTAATCAAAGGAAAAGTTAAGTCTGGTGGATTCGATACGAAGTGTTGAAGTTTATACGAAGGGCAAAACAGCTGCTTCGTTCACATCTTAATAGTAAAAATTTGTTTAATGCACTAAACACCTATGCATGTTCCACCATTAAATACTCATTTAATATTGTTAAGTGGACAAAAACGGATATAGAAAATCTTCAGCGAAAAGTACGAACACACCTCACAAAGACACAAAACACTAGCCTCGAAGTGCAGTAGAAAGAACGACATTACCGCGGTATTTAGGAGGACGAGCACTTATGGATATAAGTGAGCAACTAGAAAAACACATTACTAATTTAAGAACTTATTTTCAGGTGCAGGCTGAGACATCGACGCTGCATCGCCCGATTTGTGCAGTAGATGATACAACACCGATCAAACTGAGGGAACCAGAAATGCTCATAAACCATCTTACCAAGGACTAAAAAATGCGCACCTGGATAGGTAAACCTCTGCACGGGCGACATCCCAATGAGGTCAGTCAAGACCATGTCAACAATATAGCGTCGAACTATTGGCTGACAGTAGGAAAGATGTTCCCTGAAACAGAAGGTTAATTACTCGCCATTCAGGATTAGGTTATACTAACCAAAAATTACCTGAAATATATCGTCAAAGACCCTCAGGTCCCAAATGACAAATGCCGATATGGATTTCAAGCTCAAGAAACCATCCAACACCTTACCGGGGGCTGCCAGGTATTTGCTGCAACTGAATATAAGGAACGGCAAGACTCAGTAGGAAAGATCCTTTATCAAGAGATAGCCATCAAACTGGGAGTTCTCCAAACAAACCATTTCCCATATTATCAATACGTTTCTGAAAGTATACTTGAGAACTACAAGCTATACTGGAACCGCACTGTGCTTACAGACCAAACAGTGGCACATAATAGACCAGATCTCATACTAGTTAATAAACTAAAGAGACAAACAACACTAATTGGTGTTGCGATACCAACCAATAATAATCTTCACGTTAAACAGAACGAAAATATCGCCAAGTGGAGGGATCTGGAAATTCAAATATGAAGAAAATGGAGAATTTACAGTACCCAGACAATACCTATTATTCTTTCTTCTACTGAAGTCATTCCGATAAATCTCCTAGAAAACATAAAAAAGCTAGGTCTGAATGAACATCTCTACAAGACCATGCAGAAAGATGTACTGTTCTCAACGTTCAGATGTGTACGACCATTTTTTTTTGGAAGATACTCTAGCATACCAAGTTACCTAGGACTCGATAATATGGAAAGAGTCCCACCAGAGCTCAATCATTTTGATAACGTAGGTATCTGGGATGAGTGAATTTTGCCTTTAGAGGGATTATTTAGCCATATGACTAAATCTGAATAACAATTTAATTTATTAACATTACAAACTAAATACCTATAACTAATACCAATAATAAATTGTTAGATCTAAGGATAGCAAGTAGTTGACAAAAATTGAGGAATAGTTAAAGGGATTTCTAATAACGTCGTAACATATAGCGATCTACATTATTTAAAAAAGTTAAAACAATTTTAAGTACTTAAGTACGCACTTTGTTTATTATAATGTTATTTTATCCTCAAAAGTTCATTAAAACAGATAATACTAAAAATATGTGACACAAACAAAACGTTTCCAAGTTTATTATTTATAAAAATACAGGAATTGGACACTGTGTCATGATAAAATTAGTCATACCTTTTAAAATACTCATTGTAAGGATGCTCAATTTTATAGGAATACAGGAATTTACATTTAAAATAAGTACATAAGTTTTGTATCCTACGCAGTGAACCAAAATACTAGGAAGTAGGCGTAGAACCCGTGTCGGTCATAGCTTTCGTGGAGAAGAAACTCTGAACTGAGTAGCGGTTCTTCTGTACTTCACGGAAGACAGACTGGGAGGGGGATGTCCTCAACCTCGACACGGCACGTCCCATATGGCTGATAGGGAAAGTTCCTGCAGATATGCAGGACAGGTACGAATAAGGCATTGCCAAATAAGTACCCGCGGATCAACTGAGGATATGACATTAGGCAGCAGTAATGTCATTACTGGATTAAGGCTATGGAAAGTAAAAGTTCTGTAGGCCTAATTCCAGATACTCACAGGTGTTACTCACATTATGAGTTAAGCGGCTGTGATACTGCGACAACAGCAGCGTCTGACTCAGAGTGGGCGGCTGTAAACAGCGTCTATTCCCAGAGTGGGCGGCTAAAACACACTTAACAACCCGTCTGGCCAGCGTGGTGAGTTCACGGCCAATCTATCCCACCCTCTTATGATAGACACACGTAAGAATTGGCCCTCAGTCCTTAGTTTTAAAAGATTGCCAGAAACAAAGAAAACAAGCAACGAAACTGGATATTGCGACTTATAATGTCAGATCACTGATGAGAGACGAAAAGCTAGCCGAACTGGAATAAGAAGTAAAAAAGATGAAATGGGATATATTAGGATTAAGTGAGATAAAAAGAAAAGAGGAAGCCTGTATGAAGTTGGAATCCGGGAATGTACTATACTATAAAGGAACTGAAGAAGAATCATTAGCTGGTGTCGGTTTTCTTATTTCTAATCAGCATGTCCATAAGATTAGACAATATATTGGAATTTCAGAAAGGATCGCGGCTCTAATAATGGACATAAATAAAAATATAAGTTTAAAAATCATACAAATTTACTCCCCTACATCATCACATATGGATGAAGAAGTGGATATATTCTACGAATCATTGACACTAACAGTGAACAAATACAAAAGCACCTACACAATCATTATAGGCGACTTCAATGCCAAATTAGGGAGAAAACTAGAAGAATCAGAAAATAAAATCGGCAACTTTGGATATGGAACACGAAACGAGAGAGGAGAAACATTGATGAACTACAATGGAAACGAACGGTCTATATGCGATGAATACCTTTTTAATTAAAAACCACAGAGAAAATGGACGTGGGTCGCGCCCAATGGTTTAACAAAAAATGAGATTGATTACATCCTATCCAAAGAAAAGAACATAGTACAAGACGTTACGGTCATAAACATGATTTCCGTAGGAAGTGATCACAGAATTGTTAGAGCCAAAATCAAAATTAACTCCACAACAGACAGACAAAAATTTAAACCATCTAAAAAAGAGATAGATACAGAACTTCTTAAAGAACGCAAAGAACCATACATAAACCAGCTAAAAAGAAGTGACATATCACAGCTAAAGGGTTTGCAACTAGACGAATTAAACGATAAAATAACAACAGAACTACTAGAAGCAGGCCTGAAGATTGCTAATAAACAAAAGCGAAAACAACAAACAATTAGCGCTAAATCACAAGATATGCTAAAAAAACGACGACAACTACTGAATGATAACAAAAGAAATACAGTGGAGTTTACCGAACTGAACAAAACCATAAGAAAACAGATAAAGGGAGATTTAAAGAAATACCCAGAATACCGCATTAAGAAAATCATAGAGAACAACAAAAGTTTAAAAACAATGAAGACAAATACAGGAAAAAGAAAACTAATCATGCTTAAAGCTGAGAACAATGAAGACAGAGATCTAGGAGAAATAGTAAAAATCACTGAAAGATATTACACAGACCTATACAGTTCTAAAAATGACCCACCACTAGCATA